GACTTGGGGTCTCCCAAACGGTCAAAAGCAGACATTCGCTCGAAGGAGGACGAGTCGTCCTCTTCTTCCAGCCTGGAAAGCGCATCAGCCATCACAGCCTTCCCGTTAGGCTTGGTCGCCTTCTTCTTCTGGGACCGCCTTACTTTTTTCTTTTTTCCTTGGGAGCCTGTAGGTCCAGCCTTCCCGCCTGTGGGTCCCCCAGCCACATCTTCCACCACAACCTCGCGGTTGGGCGCAAGTGCAGCCAGCACCTCTTGGAATTGTTCGGCCGTGATGCCAACCCTCTGAATGAGGGCCTCAACCTCCCCGGTGGTGATGGGAGGGTTCCGACCTCCAGTGGTGCTGTTCTCCCCCTGTTGGGGAGCTCCGGTACCTACATTGGCGTTACTGCGCGTTTGCACCATCGTCTTAATGGAGGATTTCCTCTGAGTATGATTCTCGAACTCTCAACGAGAGCACCAACTTGATGGACAATAAATCCACCAAATGATCCGATTCACGAAGCGGATCGTAAGAACAAAATTAAGAACGAGAATTCGAGAATTGGGTATGTATTATTAGCTTGATCTAGCTTGAATTTCCTCCTTTTGGGTCCCCTCTATTTATATATGAGCTATATGCACTTAAGGTAACGCATAATCGATGGAGTCTATCCCGTTAAGGGCGCGATCCCCTTTTTCCGGCTCTGTAACGGCCAATTTGCTCCGTCTCCTTCTCCGGACCGGCTCTGCCAGCTACGTTTGGTCTAAAGTCAACCGGGCCTGGCTCCATGGGCTGGCCCAGACCTGAGTATTTTCCGAGTGTCTGACCCGAAGTAGTGTAAATGGTTCAGTTGGGCCGCCCACTGGGTATCGGCCCATCAATATATATATATATATATATATATATATATATATATATATATATATATATATATATATATATATATAATGGTTGTGAGAATGGACCTTGGTGAAAGAAATAAATCTGAGTCTTTGGATTTGATTCATCGTGTGGCCATAGATTGATTGGGATAGGGTTAGGCGTGTGTATTATATTTGGGAAGTAATAATTATAGTGCATTTAAATAGGGTTAATTTGGTTAAGAGGGGTATATTGGTATTTTCAAATGCATTAAAAAATTGCAGAAATATTCCTTATTGATGTTCTCAGCCGCACACCCCTTCTTAATAGCTAGACGCGTCATAGAGGAGTAATATATTGTAATATTAATTTGATTTCATTTAATATTCTACTATACTTTATATTTTATATGTAACTTTTTGTGCACAAGTCCGTCTTTGACAAACAATATACGGTTGGAAATCTCTCGTTGAGATCTACCCAACGACATCAATATTTAATATAAAATTTTGTTATTATCTTCTTCTCACATTCTAAAATAAAAAAATTAAAATTTATAAACAATTGTTCCTCAATTATTTAAGTAAATTTTCGGCCGATTTTTTGGGCTATTACACGCTCTCTTAACGCGAATGCATTGTCATGAGCGATATGTGCATTGTGATTTGTCCTTTAGATTTTTTCAAGTTTTATTCTATTAAACTATGGATTAGTAAATAATGACTCATGAATGTAATGAGAATATCGGGGAATGTGTTGTATTTATAAGAACTGTAATACAAATTTGAGAAATAGTCTGCCTACGTGGGATTCGAACCCACATCTGTATAACATACCGCTCTACCATTTGAGCTAATAGGCAACGAATTGTCTTTTTCTCAAAGAGACTCATATCTTTTGCTCCAACACAATGTATCATTAAACATTTTAAATGCATCATCATTTGTAAAAAAATCAATATCTAGAATATAATGCACTGTCACGAAAATTTCACCATTAATGCATCATTTTTGGTTTGAGAATGCATAGTTACAGAATGCATCAATCTTTCCCTCGATGCAGAGAATGCATTGCCTTCTCATGTAGATGCATTATATTTAGAAATATTTGCACTAAATAGCACTAAAACTTAAGTCATTTATCTAAATAGCACCTAAATTGTTTTATTCCCTAAATAGCACTTAATAATGTCCATAATGTCCAGTGATGGCGAATATTTACTCGAATAATGACTAATGCATAATGACTAAAAGTGCTACATTGGGAAGAAAAATACATGTGGTGCTATTTAGAGAAAGTCATTATGTTTTAGTGCTATTTAAGTAAATTCCTCTTATCTTTACTCTGGTAATGCACTATAACAAAAAAGCAAACAGAAGTAGAAAAGAAGAAAGAAAACACCCTGATCACTACAAAAATTCCAAACTGATTTGGATACGTGACCGAACAGAATTTGTGAAAGAATTCTCTCAAGGTTGCAATTTAAGCCACCACAAATAGCAGCAACATAAAAACAAAAAAAGGAGAAACAAAATATATATGTCTAAAATGTAGGAATAATTGAATAAACAACACATATGTAGTGATTTCAAAAGCTCCATATCTTTCTGCATCTCTTGTCTTTCTACACAATAACGTCTTCACCCATCTCTTACAGTTCATACGTACTCCCTGATTGTAACTTTTCAAACTACATAATATAAGATGCTATTGCATGAAAAATCAATCATGTAATGCATTGAAGGTATAAGATATTGCAACTCTATACTATTAATTATGCGTATAATACTTGATCAATATTTTCTTGTTCATAAATAATTAAAAATGATTCATGCCATTACTAGAAAGAGATTATGAAAGCCAAAAGTGTTCTCACTGATATGCCAAGAGATATACCATATGATATAAAGACTGGTTATGATTGCCTTTAATGGGTTGAACTAAGACATAAATGGTGTGATTGGGTTTGGGGTTCATTAATCCTCCAAAATCTAGGATTATTTGTTGGCTCTTATGGAGAGGAAGGCTGCAAACGAAGGACAAATTGAGCAGATTCTTAACCACAAATACAAATTGGGATATGCGTAAAAAAAGGAATTAACTACTCATCTCATTTGGCAATGTGAATTTGCACATAAATTATACACAACAGTTGGTGATACTTTTCATATGAAGTTTCAGATTAATTACCTATTGGAATTGAGGACTTCAATTCCAATTCTAGTGTTTGGTAGCACAAAAATTATGTGGGTTTGGAATTGGTAGTGCAAAAAATTAATTGGAATTGGTGAATTCAATTCTATGGAATTGAATCCCTATGGAATTTTAATTCCAATTCAATTCCAATTCCATCACTTCCGTGTACCAAATAGACCCTGAAGAAGTTAGAGTAGAGTTGCAGAGAATTAAATACACAATCTTAAGCACTTGCATTACTGAGAAAATAGAAATCAAGTGTATCAACATCAAAGGTGAATATAAATGTGCAGCAGATGGATATTGAAATGCAACATAAATGTGCACCATGCGAAATTAAACGCTCGGTGAAGAACTCAAAGATCACTGCACAAACAATGACTAGAACATAAATGTGCATAAAATGCAATTACAAACTCATCTGTCAATCCTTTGTTATCGTAATTCCTAACAAGCTGTTGAATCGAAGCGCAGTTCAAGTCGCTGTCGTTGCACCGCATCGGAGGACTGCTGCCGCCGCACAGGACTCGCCGACCTAGTAGCCACCATGGCTTCCACCGAGAGCCACCATCGTCTTCGTTAGAGCAGCCGCCACCGCTCAAAAAGCCAATCGCTACCTCCGCCGGCTCTCAGGGGAAAGTCGTCGCCAGGAATAGTAGCCCCAATCCTCACTACTCTTCTCTGATCTCTTTTTCCGGTACCTCTCTAATTGGGAACTCATTAATTATAAGGAACTATTAATCTTTGTTATCAAGAAGAAAATCAATTCCGTGAGAAAAATTGAGAACGGATCTTGGAGAGAGGATGTTGAAGACCTAATTTTGGGGAGAGAAGATCGCATTATTTGTGAGAGAGAAACCAAAATATGAGAATAATACATATTTGCCCCTATGAAATGTCGAAGATAGAAGGCCTGTAGTGCTTGATAGAAAGTCTAAAATTCATTCTCATTTCTTTCATATTTCTTTCATAAGATGTCATTCTCTCTTTCATATTTCTTTCATAAGATGTCATTCTCACGAGAACCAATATATATATAGGGGTTAGTTCTGGTAAGAATGAGTCTCAATGAAAGAAATAAGAATAAATAACATTCATTGGATATACTCCATCGTGTGGTTAAGATGTAATTAAGGACTCCTGTGTGTAATAGGAAAGTAATAATTGTGATTCTTTTCAAAATCTTTTATAATCACGTAGAAGGGCAAAAAAGGAATGAAAATACACATAAAATCGGAAAAAATAGAGAGGGTCGTTTTTATTCCGCCTATCATGCAGCATGCCCAAAATAAAAGTCTTTATTCCCTTCACTCCTCGATACATCTCCAAGCGCTGCAACTAATTTCAATTTCAACTTGTCTTGTAACTATTAATTTGATGATGCATAACAGCTTTTTGATAGTTTTCAACTAGACTTAACACTATTAGTTTAAGATGTTTGATGCAAAATAATTAAAAAAATTGATGGTGTATTGCAATTAAATGAGAATATGGTGCATGTGTTTTTTCACTTTTTGATACATTATGCCGCATTATAATATCATTATAGTGTGTTGTTGGCACTTACTGCTGCACTCTTAAACTAAATTCTAGATATATAGCATTTATAAGACAGATTGGTGCATTTGATAATTTTTAACTGTGAAATCATTCCTATGGAATGATGTATCAAAATCCATAGATAAATTTAATTTATTGACATAATTTCAAAATAAAAAACACATTGATTTAAAGTATTTTATTTGACAAGTTACTGTATTTCACTACACAAGATTTAGATTTTTATTTAATACATTTGATGATGCATTCTAGTGACACCTCCAAGAGGTTAAATATGATGCTCAATTAATTACTTTGTGTATGTTTTTTTAGCCTGAAGTTCGGGTGATGAGTTGACCTTAATTTGGGATGTTTGTTTGGTGATAAGTGATATATTGGATAAGTCTTGTTTGCTATTGGTACTTGTATGTTATACACATTAATTTAGGATATTTGGTTTGGCATAAATGATTGTGATATGATTCTATATCAATTGCATCAGTTTTATAAGAATGCGGTGCATTTGATATTTTTTGTGATGCATTATGGTATCATTTTCGTGCAATGTTGGCACTTGATGCTTGACTCCTTAAAAAACATATCTGCATTTTTTTTCTTTTTTAATGCATTTTGATGCATTATGATAATATTCTGGTTTGTTATTGGCACTTGATGCTGCATTCTTAAAAAAACTGATCTGTATTTAGATATATATTAAGTTGTTCTTCAATGATTATCATGACCAATACAACCTCATGTGATGCTTTTTAGATGTTTATTAAAAATAATGCTGTGATTGAACATTAAAATGTAAGGTTGTCGAGAATTGATGCACAAGTAGAGATGGCAACATGTTGCAAGTCGTATGGAACAAAATGACATTACATCATTTGTTAGAAGAAGTGTGAGACTAATACTTGCGTAGATTACAAAACGACCAAAGCGAGATGCAGAACATATCGATACAAATGCCGAAGAAGAGAATGGTTTTGAAGAAGCCAGACCAAAGCGAGATGCAGAACATATCGATACAAATGCCGAAGAAGAGAATGGTTTTGAAGAAGCCAGTTCAGACGAGAATGATGAAACAACTAAAGATGAAGAAATGGGATCCATAGGTGAAAGCATTGACAATTATGAGGACGACATTACAAATGAAAAAAAGATCCTAACAGTGATGATGATTTTGGTAATTATATTTGTAATTTAGGAGTAGTTTCAGTTCAAGCGCCTCTGTGAATGAAAAAATAGAGTTCAAAAAATAACATGAATAAATATAGGGCATATGAAACTAAAGCAAACGTTGACACAAGCTATGAACGAATTACAAAAAATATATAAAGTTATTGCATGAAAAAAACTTGCATCTTAATTTTAAAAGTTTATGAAAATTTTTTGTATTGCAAAAAATTCATGCACTCTAAAGACATGATGATTTAGTATGACATAATAATGCAGCATGTGATAGCAGAAATGCATCATGTGTATCCATCTGATATGAAATGAATGAATGTTCAAGTACTGAAAACTAACTTCCAAAACTGTAAAGCTTCTAAAAAATGATAATAAAGTACCAGGAACACTCAAAATATAATTTCCAAATGAGTATTGCAATGGTTCTGCACACAACAAACGTAATGATGTGGTTGGGCACAAGAATGCAGAGTATGACAACAGAGACTCAACATGGAAAATTAACTCAAAAGAACTAATTGATTTTTCAAACACTTAAAACAGAAATTCATTAAAATTCAATATAAACTATGAACATCCGTTATTATGATATTGATGGACAATAAATCCACCAAATAATCCGATCCGTTAAGCGGATCGTAAGAACAAAATTAAGAACGAGAATTCGAGAATGGGGTATGTATTATTAGCTTGATTTTTGCTTGAATTTCCCCTTTTTGGGTCTCCTCTATTTATACATGAGCTATATGCAATTAAGGTTACGCATAATTGATGGAGTCTATCCCGTTAAGGGCGCGATCCCCTTTCTCCGGCTCTGTAACGGCCAATCTGCTCCGTCTCCTTCTCCGGACTGGCTCTGCCAGCTACTCTTGGTCTAAAGTCAACCGGGCCCGGCTCTGTGGGCCGGCCCATACCTGAGGACTTTCCGAGTGTCTGACCCGAAGCTGTACAAGCGGTTCATTTGGGCTGCCCACTGGATATCGGCCCATCATAAGCCCCCCAACTCCTCATTCTTCAGCTGGGCCAAGTGGAAGAATGGGGAGTTTGCAAAGTCCACGTGGGCGCTCCAGCGGGAATCCGGGCCGTTCCTTGGGTTCCGCGTGACGTCTGGGCACGATCTCCACAAATAGGTAATCATGGCCCGCCGATTCGCTTCCCTGCTGTCAGTTAAAAAACCGCCGC